AAATTAATAATGAAACTGGTTAGACTTGCAGAATTGTTGACCAAGTAATAGGATGTTCTGCTAATTGGCAGCTGGAAAACGAAGCGGGGTGTGGTGCCTACAAAATGAACGCTTGCGCGGGGAAACCTGATGCTGCAGCGCTGGTAGAGCACACCTGTATCGCCGGTGATGTTGCCGACATTAGGGTCCAGTTCCGCAGGGCCGGGATTTCGAATAGCAGCGCTGAGCAGAAAGTTCACTGCATTACAGTCCAAGCTCTCTCCGGTGACTTTGCGAGCGGTTAAGTATTAAATTCAACTTTCTGATCTTGGGGAGTGTCTCTAAACACACAGATATTGTGCTAGAATTATTTGAAGCATGCAGACGTAGAGTTTCGCGTAAGACCAGTGGAGACATGGCTTTAGCTGAGTGCTTGGGCTGAACAAAAAACTCTTTTCAGAATTCTTTCCCTTTACACCAGGTGGTAAAGGAAATAGATTATGGGATTCTGTTCCTTGGTAGTTCATTTCTATACGTTTATGTTTTATCTCTTGGATTATTGATGTCCACGGGCTTGTTTTCCAAGCAATATAGTGCTCTCCCTGGTAAACTCAGTAATTGAAAGTCTTTTGTGCTTTGTAGGTTGGCTTTTAAGTAGGTCAAAATCAGCAGGAGAGCTTCATAACCAGAGCAATTAGGATTTTAACCCTTTATCCTACATGCCCTATAGACAGTAGAATATAAGTCGACTGATGGGCTGCTGTGTGCCATGGGCAGCCACTGAAAGCCAGAGGTTTCTAGTTCCAGGCTTACAACTGAGATCTTGCTGTAGTGGAAAATTACTGAATTAGGATGTACAAGGAGATAGTGTCAGCTTGGGGTTAGGCCAGTAAGATAGTGTTGTTGAAGAGATCTTTTTCAATAGCAGTTGCATGCTGCTGCCAGGTCAGTGGTTTGGGGCATTGGCAGGGCTCTGATTTAGAAGGAAATTATGCGACTCTGAAGACCAGTACTCCAGAGCATGTGAAAAGAGGTGAGAAGTTGAAAATGTTCCCTGGTGTGTTCTTCCTCCACCTGCTTTTCCTATCAGAAATAAGTTACGGAGAATACCTATGTAAGAATTGTTTGGTGCTGTTGGTATATTTGCTCTGAACTCGTATGTCGTTCTTTTGCAATCTTTTTGTTGTGTGCAGTAGTAGATAGAAAAAGCAGCAGGGGAAAAAAAAAGTTGATCATCGGAGGTTAATTGTAATTTAAAACGGGATTTGTGTTGTTAATGGAGCTGTTTAACAGAAACAGATTTGTACAAACAACCCTTCCCCCACCTTTTGCATATACGATCTTCCTGTTTACAGTAATCTGCTTCTCTGGGATTACCTCTCTCTTAACAGGGACTCTAAGCAAGACTCATTTTTACCAGTAGTGTCCTACCTAATACAGGAAAGACCCTGTTAATCCAGCCCCTTCGCTTGGACTTTGGGAAGTGAAGTTAGTGGCATCTATGCAAAAGGGAAGCCAGCAAGCAATTTTCCTTCATTGTTACTTACAGCTTCAAAATGTCAAATGAGGCTTTAAAGCAGCAGAGAACTATTATTGCTGTATAATTATTGCCTGTATTGATTGGGATGCTGCTGATTTTGGCACAAGTCGATGATTTGCTTTGCAGATCTATCAATAGATGAAATCCATACCACGGCGCTTACAAATGCATGCACTTGCGTTTGTAAATGTATGTGGTTGCATCTAAACCCAACAACTTTACAACATTGCTGTGGTGTTTATGGAAGATAAAGTGCCAATTCTAAGCCACTTAATCAGTTTATTGAGCTGTTTTAAATATGGTAACTTCAAGGGATGGCTCAAACAGATAGACGTTGCTCTGCCCCAGGACCCTGAATCAACAAACCTAACCATGCTCCAGCTGCTCTGCAACAAAACAAAATGTTCAAAGCTAACTAGTTAGAAGAGCAATGAAGCAGAATAGATGCTACTGAAAGATTTTATTTGCAAGATGGGATGTGGAGGCATGGAGTACAATTGCTGTGCCTTTGGTCTCACCCTGTCCCCAAAGGCTGTTAGGAGGTGTTCTTGGAAGATGCCTCGTTCTCTCCCACCGTCTTTAACTGCCCGGGTCTGGTTAAACTCGTTGCAGGAAAGGAAGAGGAGGGCATTCTTTCTGGAAAGGTCACCTTTCCCATGTCTGTGGAGTGGCCTCCCCACGCCTGCTGCCCCTCCTGCCTGCCAGCCCCCCCCTAATCTCCTTACAGGAGGCTGCACCATGGCAACACACACCCCGGAGCCTCTTTGTGTCACCCGTGGGGCCGGGTGGGAGCACAGCCAACGAGGAGAGAGATTTCTTACCAGTGCGGCTGTGACTTCTCTTCTTGCCCTAGCATATCTGCCTGGCATGACGCTTGTCTGAAATTTGTAACCTAAGGCTTGAGGAAGAACTCCTCCTGGATTTTTGTGCCTTCCTTCCTCTCCCGGCAGGATTTCTTGTCTGAGATGTAGCCCAGAGAACGAAGTTTGAAAGGAAGGGCTGCGGCATGTGGCACCGCTATGATTTGGGGATGCACTGCTAAGTGGCTGTACAGTTGTTTCATGTAGGTGTGCTTGATTTGTCTTACTCCAAGTGCAGCCTCCGCTTAACTGGGATTTATAAAATCTCTTTTTCTTTCTCCTTTATTTGGTAATGATTTTTCTTTTTCTTCTCTTCTTCCCCTTCTTCGTGACCACTCCATGCTTTCCTTCTCTGACAAGGAGCTAAGGCGGGAGTTGGCTGCAGGCTCTCAGCCAGCTCCCCTGCATCATGCACTGAAGTGCTTTGTTAGGACTGGAATTGCTGAGAGTTTGGGATAGGGACAGAAGCCAAGTGACCTCAGCAGTGCTTTCTTGAGAGGAGAAATTAGAGAGGATTTTGCAGAGATGATATTAAAGTGGTGTATTGTGGTGTGTTTATTTTAGACTTGCCCTACCTTAACTGCAGCAAGTGTTCAATTATACATGGCTGAGGTTTTAAGTTTGCGTTGGTACAGCTGCAGCTGTAACCTGTTATAACAAAGCATGCACAGTGCAGCCAACGCATTTGTACCAGTGCTGCTGGTTTGCATTTGAAATCAGACTTTGTAATATCCCTCTGATGAAAGGTTTCTGCTGCCTGCACTTAGGTCATTCAATATATTAAATGGGAACAAAGATCTTCCTTACTGTTTAATAAATCTTATCGTACATGAATCTACTAGAATACCTTCAGCGTTTCATTTTGTACAAAAGAGCACTCAGATGAACTCCGCTTGTTGCTTTACATGTATCCTTTGTGATACCCAAGTTTTTGCTAAGCAGCCTTAGAAGTACTGAAGATGCCTTTTCCAAATGTTTGTTTGGGGTTTTTTTCCTTTCTGTTTCCCTGTAGGATTGCTCAAGGGTAGAAGGAATTTGATTCTGCTAAGGTTACAAAATACGAGGATTTCTTTGTATGCGATATGTGAGGGAAGTATATAAAAACTATTTATTTTTCAAAATTAAGGAAGCTGTTCGAGGTAGCTGTGCTTTTCACTCCTTCATAGATACATTCTTTAAACATTTTGCATTTGATACTGAGCCTTCATACTGGGAATCGAATATAAGAGGAAATACTGTGAGGACAGACACAGGTGAGAAAGTGTCATTTCAGAGCAGTGGTTTTCTCTGTGTAATGTATAGACAACCGATGCCTTTCTACTTCCACATCTGTTCTTTGTGCTCAGTCACACTTGCTGAGTGTGCAGCCGTATTTACGGACACACTTTTGTGGATCACTGAACAGGCACAGGGACCAGCACGAGCTTCAATACCTTAACAAAAATCTACACCTGCCAGGTAAACGGCTCCTTTTCTGTGAAGCTGGAACTCTGCTCTTCCTCCTTGTTGCTCATCTGTGAAGGCTTTGACTGAGTTCCAGCTAGAGGAAAAAGACGATGTGTATGCACGTAGTGTTTACCTTTTGAAGTAGAAATGCTAGTTGTGCCTGAAGTATCATATGACTTTATTGCAGAAGCTTGTAGTCCAGGTGTTCGGTTTGGAGTTAGAAGGAGCACAGGTGAAGCCACTGTCACCTATAAATTGAGCACGTTTTACAGTTTGACAGCAGAGCTCCGTACTACGCATGAACGCTGCATTAAATCAAACTGGGGGAATACAGAAAGTGTTAGAACACATTTCATGATGTTGCTGTTTGTTGCAAACAGCTACGGCATTGTGGAGGGAGGGATTTGTCTTTGAGAAGTATTCAAGAACTGGTGAGGGCAAAGAGAAGATTGCCTTGACAAAAAGGTACTGTGAATTTGGGAGATGCCAGCTCTGGTAGAGCTCAGGGATTTACAGGCCAGTCAACTGTGAAAGAGAAGCAGTAGGTGTTAGTGAGGGGAAGTTAAGAGAATGGCGGTATTGAAAAACTGTTAGAACTGGAAGAAGCAGCTGAAGAAGAAAATGCAAAATTTAAATGTAGGTAACTGACTTGAGCGTTGTGAAGTGGAAAATAATTTACGTATTTGGCTTTAGTGTAAAGGCTTTGTACATTAAGAAAAACCAAGTGTATTGTGGGGGTTCGTTTGCTCTAATGAGAGTAGCTATCATTCTGCATCAGTTTAGAGATTTACGAGATTGGTGTGCTTTTTGCTGTTAACAGACAACATTTATCTAGTATTCTAGATAGTACATTTCCAGTAATATATCCCAACCTATCTATGGGGTTTCTTTAAATTTCAGCAGTTCTGAAATTTTTGTTTTGCTGTTCTTCTCACTGGTGGCTCAGCACCTATAATTTCTAGGTCAGTGGGAACAGACTTCTTGGGCTTGTGTAGGTGGATGTTTCCTTAGGAGTCTGAGATTACTGGCCTCATGTTATTTTCATAAGGTTTACAGGCTAATTGTAGAAGTTGTTCTGAACAAACACGAACAACTTGCATCTTTCTCTGGGATCTCGCCAACTCTTTTGGTAATCGTGAGAAAAATAATATTTCCTTTTCCCCTTCTCCCTACAGGTCACGTGGATTGCCAAAGCTGAAAGAGTCCCGTTCCCATGAGTCTTTACTGAGCCCGGGCAGCGCCGTGGAGGCCCTGGATCTTGGGTCAGAAGAAAAAGTCTTTGTCAAACCACTTCACAGCAGTATCCTTGGACAAGACTTCTGCTTTGAGGTAAAGAACGCTCTCCAAACACGCAGCCGATTATACGCTGTCAGTCAGAACCCTCGCAGTGCGCTGTTCTGTGACTTTGTAATTGGAGAACAGATCAGCAGCCGCTGCTGTCCTGAGGTTTGGGTGGGGGCTGTCTAACCAGCGTGCGATCCAAAAGTCCTTGAGGGTAATGGCATCAGTCACTCAACAGAGAGAAAACTTTCTCAATTACCCCATCTTCTAATTGAAAAATCTCTTTAATTTGATAAATATCTAAGCATTTGTAGTTTGCATGCAAATGTATGGTTGAAACGTACTGTTGTTGATAAGCTGTGTATTCGTCTTCTCCAAAATTTAGAAAATATACTGTAACTGAGAAATGTGATTTCCAGTCAGAGCCCCCTTCCATTAGCTCATGCCGATTGCTGAAGGAGAAGCTTCAGTAACTGCGGACATCTCCGTTGCACCACGGGGCGGGATGCAAAGATCCTCCTGCTGTTTCAGCACAGGCTGCAGCACAGCCCCACGTGGCTCCTGGCTTTGCTTCAGACTCGGGCTGTTTGTGTCAGCACAGTCCTTACCTTGCAGGACCGACAGCGTATTCGTGTGTGCTCTCTGGATGCATCTTAAGGCCATGGTAATCTCTTGTGGCAGGGGGGGGGGGG